ATGGTTGATCTTAGGCATTTCCCTATGCATTCAAGGTGCCTGCACACATTCTGTGTCTGCGCATGCATGTTTTAGGCACATAGATGGCTAAGCCAAAGCAAAATGGTAATGTTTATCAAATTTCCTCTAAAGCAGGGGTACAGACTAAACAATTAACAGGATTCTCAAATGAGAAATATGCTGACATGATATTGGCTGTAAATATGACTTAAAAATGCATGGATTAAATTTGAAATTTATTGCTTAAAATAAAATATTATAGGTACTCGTCATCGAATACAAAATATTCAATTTCTTAGGTATACATTTGCTTTTTATAAATATATCGATGATTTTTAATGGTGACTCCATATTGGCTTTTCATTCTGGAGGTAATCTATATTTACCTCTTTGCAACTTTTGTGTCCCATCTTCAACTATGATGGAAGATGAAGAGGGAAGCCCTGTGGCTATTAAGGAGTTCCAAAAGCATTGCTACTACTGGGCATTTGCCTGAATGTGGGAAAAACAAATAAATACAATTAAAAAGCTTGGAGCAGTTAAACGTCATTGGAAATCAGAAGGTGTGTCTTTCTAGGCCTTGGACAGGGATTGGAGGGCATCTGAAAAAGAGGTGGGCATTCACACAAGCAAGCGAACAGCAACAGTCAGATCTAGGGCTGCGGTAACCACATCTTCACAAAGCTATACAAATCCAGTGCTTTTGCAATACCTATTTAAACATTAGTCCATTCACATTTAATTTATGTTTATAGCCTTAATCATATATGAATGTACTGTTCTTAAGCCATAGGTTAACTTAATTTCATATCATCAAAAATATGATTTGCTTAGTAGTACTTTGCCTGTTCCAAAAGTGTCTTTTTATTGCATATAAAGGGTATATTTCTCCTTGTCAATCTTCTCTATTATTAAGAAAAAAAATGCTTAAATTGGTGGCTCTCTATATAATTGAACACATAACTCTGATTTTCCCAATATTTACATCTATACGAAGTAAAATTAAATCTAATTGGACTGTTCCTGCCAGGTATGCTGAAAGAGACTATAGTGTTAAAAAAAATAATCACCATTTTATAGCAAGGGATAATATTTTAATAACAAGCATTAAAGCTTGAGTCATTCTCATGATGCTTATCTAAACAATGCAATAAATTAAAGTCAACTTGCTAATATTTCTAATACAAATAATTGTATTATCTATGACAGAGACAGTGCGGGAGCCATCTCTGAAGATGGCATCGAATGATTCTCACTTCCTGACACTCATGTCCCTGTGTTGCCCCTCCACACACACATTGATTAGGATCACCCTGTGTGATCAGCCAAATGCTGCAGAAATGACAGAGCATGACTTGGTCATAAAAGATATGGCAGCTTCTACCTTGGTTTCTCTTGGATCTCTAGTTCTAGGGTAAGTCAACTGCCATATCATGTTGACAGTCAAGCAGTACTTAACTAATGAAGTCCACACAGTAGTTAACTGAGCCTTCTGTCAATAACTAGCACTAACTTGCCAGGCATGTGAGTGAGCTCTTATGGAAGCAGATCCTCCAGCCCACCTTAAGCCTTCCAATGACCAGACTCAGGTGACAGCTTGACTGCAACCTAATGAGAGATCCTGAGCCATAAATGTACAGCTAAACTGCCCCTCATTTCCTGACCCAAGAAACTGTTTGAGATAATAAATGCTTGCTATTTTAAGCTGCTAATTTTGGGTTAACTTGGTACTTGGCAATAGATAACTACTAATTTCAGCGTATACAGGGAAAAGCACATGGGCTGAGAGGTTGAAGAATCTAAAATGTATGTTGACAGCAGCTGGAAGTTGAGTGCTACTGGACAGGTTATTTTAAATCTCTGTGTCTCAATTTTGTCATTAGTAAATTAAAAAATAATAAATTGTATGTCACAGGGGGTTGAGGAATAAATAAAAGTATTTAAAGGGCCTGGAAAGTGCTTTGTCATCAGTAAATATTTTTTTTCCTGTTCTTTAAATTTCACTTAATTTGACAAGACTTCTTTTTAAAGGTCTTCAAGTGGATTGTTCCCTGCACATAGAAATGGTTTTTACAGGATGCAGAGAAAAGACTAGGGATGTTCAGGTACTATCTGGCTTTGTTTGTGTTTATTTGTTTATATTTATTTTAATAAAGATCTGACTTTGAAGATACTGATTTAAGAGGTGAATTTTTATAAACATTCCCTTAAGTAGAAGTGAAGAAAGTACATGAGTTATTTCTGAATATTTTTGTAAGCCCCAAGTATGAAATAAAACTTCTCCAGATCTTGCAAAAATTCTTCTCTACTCTGACAAGGTCTCTGATAGCTTCATGCTCCAGTTAGACACTTTGAGGTTAAGAGAACATTTGGAAACATTCTGTGTCTGTTTCTTCTCTGTCTCTACCTTGATTCCACTATTTTTTGTGTGTCTTTGGCTAAATAAATTGGGAAATTATAAGTGAATGTTTTCATGTGCAATCTTTCATTTTGCTAATTCATAATCGACTCACAATCCTTTTATCCTTGGCATTTAACATTGACATTTCAATTGATTTTTGATAGACTCTGAAGGGCCATAACTTAAACTAGGTGCCATCGTGGAGGGGTTACATTCATGGACTCTGCATGAAGATTTGCAAGATTTCTTGGGTTCAAATCCCAGCTCTGCCACTAACTGTATCAACGTGTGAAAATTATTTAAAAACTCTGTGCTTTTGTCTCTCCCAAGCAAGGTGAAAACAATCATGATATCTATCTTATAGGTTCATCATAAAAATAATATGGTTAATATTTATTAACAATTTAGAACACTGCTTGTCAAAGCAGGTGCTTGTTAGTTTTTCATTTTGATGAAGTAAATATTTGAATGTCCTGGGCTCTGAAACTATCATGTAGAGCCATTTAGTGAGTGTAGCAACCATCACTCAGCAATCATCCTTCTTTCTCCTATTTTCTGCATATATTCAAATGTGTTTTACTATAATATTGAGAGGAACTTATATATTCTAATGGTGCTTGAGAATATTTCCTCAACTATAGCCCTAACAAAGATAAATGTATACTTTTCTCTAAAATGAAAATATGTTTGCCCTTTACAAGTGCATTTGATTTCACAGCTCCTAATTTTTGTCTAGGTATGTGTGTTTCAGAGGGACACTGATGGAGGAAAATTAATTTACCTTTTATAGGAGTGGTTTTAAACTTCTTTTCATTAGGAAAATAATTATCACGTAAGTTATGACTAAGAGCACCAACTCTATTTTGCTATATTTGCTATAGGCCAAAATAAGTGGATTAAGGATTATTGTAGCATTTCCCCCCCCAAATGTTTGCTGTATTTAGGAAAGGGAGAGAAAGAGAAAATGAGAGAGAGAGAAAGAGAGAGAGAAAGAGAGAGAGAGAGAGAGAGAAAGAGATGTCTCTCCCCCCCAAAATTCAGGACATCACGTCACAAAATATTGGAAGCAAAATGGACTTTAACAAATGAGCTCACTCTTGTACTACTGGGAATAACTGTTAGCTTTAAAGAAAGAAATGACAAACTCAAAAGTGACTTTGAAAGACATGTAAAATAGCTTGTCATTATTTAAACTGTGTGTGTGTGTGTGTGTGTGTGTGTGTGTGTGTGTGTAGATCCAGGGATGGGGGTGGGGCAAGGATGTCCTATGAAAGGGAGGCTTCTGAACAGGTGGAATTCAGGCTCTATTCACCCACTCTGTATCTACCAGAGAAGTGTTACTTTCATAGATATTACTTTTTGGGCTTCCAAATAAGATTGCATTTGAATAAAGTAGTTCATAACTTCCAAAGGATTGAGAACTATTCTTCTAGATATGATAGTCCATAAAGATAATCACAAACTGAAAACATCTCCACCTGGATAACCAGAATCTGAGAAGGTTGTATTAGCAGATACATAATCTTACAGGATGCGACAAGGGTGACCCCAGAGGGGTTTGTCTTATTCTAAATACATAAAAACATGAGGGCTTCCATGAAGCTACAAAGAGGTAGATCTAAAATTAGTAAAATCATGAATGAATCAGTAAAAAGAATTAAAAACTGAATATCCTGAATTGTAGAAGAAGTTCTATGCAAAATAGCTGCAAAAAATTTTAGATAAAACCACAGTCATGGTTCAGCCTAGCATTTTCTTGAATACATCCCTCCCTAGTGTTAAAGCGATTATACATATATCTATAGATACACACACACACACACACACACACATATAAATAGATAATACCCTTCCCTCTGCATTCCATCTTCCAGTTAATCCACATGGGTCCCACTCATCTTTGATGGCTGATAAGACCAGCTAAAGAGGTTTGAATGAGCTTACTGGTTGAAAATAAAGAGAAAGTAGTCAAGTCCTGACTTCTCTTGTTCAAACGCTCTTGCAAAGGCCTTCTGAGGCTTCTCGAGGGGACAATCATACAGAGCTGAAGTTAGAGTAGCCTTAAAATCATGTTGGATAGTCCTTTAACCATGTATTTTATTTCCTCTACAGCTCCTTCAGTGACAGAATATCTAACATACAGTGAGCTATAAAACAAAGCGCTAGAATGTCTTGAGGGAGTGTAAGGCAGGCGAGAGGGCTGAGGCTTATGAAGGAAGCCGGGCAGACAGCGGCCCTGATGGCTTTTGGAGTGCTCTCAGGGAACCTGTGCGGGGCCTGTGAGAGCTGGTTTACTTCCCAATTAAACATGGTTGCCAGCAAGAGCCATGGTGTGCTGGTTCAGAAGGGAGATGAAATAAAACAATCAGCGAGGGGGGATCTGCAGACATTTCTAAGATCATATAAACCAAATGGACATTCCTTCTGGATGCTCTTAGCTCCCCTTCCTTCCCACGTGGACCCCTTGGTTGGTTTGCCTGCAAGGAGGCTGTGGAGAGTCATTCAAGCCAGTTAAAGAAACTGCTTAAAGTAAGTATGGGAAACACAAACACATCAGCTCCACGTGCTTGGAGCAGAGTGACAGTGGCCAGGTCCTTACTTCTTCTCGCCTTTGTACCACTCGAAGGCCGGAGGCGGCACGCCCGCGCCTTCGCATCTTATCAGTCCACTGCGGCCCGGGGCCATGGTGCCGGATTTAATTTCCTGAATCGTAGGAGCAACTGCAAACGAAACAAACACATCAACTAGTGGGTAAGTAAAAATAATCTTCAGCAGAAATATAACACACATATATTTCCATTCTTTCTATATTCAAAGCAATCTTATACCCGATAGGCCAATGCATCACATTTCCAGTGTTTTATGCTTCTAATACAACACTAGTCGCTTTCAGCTTCATTTTTCAAGTTGGACAATAGATGAATGTTCCCAGGGAGTGTAGAGTAAATGTAATACATTTTGGCCTTGCTTTCTATTGGAAAATGGCATCGGTGAGGGATACACTTCATCTGTACTCCAGTCAAACTCTACTTCAATGATAGCTCTCATTTATTGAATGATCCCTGGGAGCCAGTCACTGGGCTAGGTGATTTTTGTTCATAATTTCCTCACAGTAATACTCAAAGCTAGAAGGTATTATCCCAATTTTACCAATGTAAAAATTGAAACTCAGAGAGGTTAAATAATTTGTCTAAGGTCACACAGCTGCTTAGCTGTAGAATTTGGATTTGAAGTCAGGCATGTTGATTCAAAGCCTGAGCTCTTTCAATATTCCCCATGCATTAAATCTTAGTGACTTTTTCTCCTCAATGTGGTTTCTTCTACCTGGAATGCGGTTCTTCCTAATTCCCACAGATTCAAGCACCAATTTAAGTGTCACCATCTCCAAACCCCTCCCCATTGCTCTGGCTGGAAACAGTTTTCCCTTGTCTAAGTCGTTTTTATAAATTTCTCATACCAAACTATATCTGTCTTGTATTGTAATTATTTATGAGTAGTTCAAGCTTCCTTGTTAGTGTCCTGAAGGCAGGGTAAATATGTGATTCAATTTGCATATTCAGAGATCAACACACAATGCCTTTCACATAATGATGCTTGAAAAGGTTTTTTGTAGCATAGCCATTGCTTTATTTACCAAATAGTTATTGAGCCATCAATAATTGTCATGTATTTCTCAAGGCACATAGCAGTCAAACTCCCTGACATGATGAAGCTTGTAGTCTAGGGGGATGGGAGACAGAGAGTATAAGCAATAAGTATCATAAATAAGTAATTTAAATGAAATGTTAGAATCTGATTAAAAATATGGTAAAAAATGCAGCAAGATAAGAGAAATTAGAGCAAAGACTGGATTGCAATTTTATGTAGGGTAATCTGATTAGGACTAATTGAGAAGGTATTTAAGCAACACAGATATAAACAAGTGAGTTTATGATGTGGATACCTGGAGAAAGTCTTCTAGGAAGAGGGAACCGCCTGCAGGAAGGGTCTGAGGCCCAAGCAAGCCTGATTTGTTTGAGAAATACCAAGGGGATCAGTGTGGCTGAAGCAAAGAGAAAGGCGGAGAGTAGCAGGAGGTGGAGTGTGACGAGTAATTTTGTGTCAACTGGACTGGGTCACACAGTGTCAGATATTTGCTAAACATTATTTCCTGGTGTGTCCATGAAATATTAGCATTTGCATCAGTGATCTCAGTAAAGCATATTGCCCTCTTCAATGTGGGTCCACATCATATAATCCATTGAGGGACTGAAGACAATAAAAGGCAGAGGAGGGGTGAAGTCACCTCTTCTTTGAGTGACTGCTGAGCTAAGAGATCCTCCGAATAGGTGCTACACCATTGGCTCCCCTGGTTCTCAGGCCTTCCGACTAAGGCTGAGCTATACCACCGGCTTTCCTGGGTCTCCAGCTTATAGAAAGCCTGTGTAATCACGAGTCACATTTAGTCTCCATGTCACTTATTTCCAATTTAATCTTTATTTCCTTTCTTAAGGACTTTGCTTTTACTCTGAGGGAAATGGCAAACACTACAAAGCAGGGGTATAATGTGTCCTCTGTTTTAAAGGTATCTGGCTGTTGTGTCGAGAAAAGACCATAGTGAAGCCAGGATGAAAGTCGAGGCCCAGTAGAAAGCTATTGCAGTAAACAAGGCAAAGTTATGTTGGCACTCTGACTAGGGTGGTAGCGCTGGAGGCAGTGAAAAATGATTGGCTTTGGAGTCTGTTGTAAAGTTGGAGCTGATAGTATTTGAAAACTTATGTCCACACAAAAACCTTCACGCAGATGTTTATAGCAGCTTCATTTATAATTACCAATACTCAGAAGCAACCAAGAAGTCATGCAGTAGGTGAATGGATGAACTGTGGTATGTTCAGACATTGCAATATTATCTGGTGCTAAAAAGAAATAAACTAGCAAAGAAAATAGGATTTCTTGACAGATGTGAAACAAAGAGAGGAATCCAGGGTGACTTCATTCGGCTTAAGTGGAAGGTTTGAATACTGAGATGGAGAGGATGGTATAAGTAGAAGGGTTTGAAGGGAAACTTTTGGAGTTGTAAGCATGTGCCATTTTTTAAGTAGAATTTTAAGAGCAGCTTTTAAGTTCACACAAAACTGAGCAGAAGGCACAGAGATTTCTCATGTATTCTTTGCCCCAACACATGCATGGCCTCTCTATTATCCACATCCCCTACCAGAGTGGTATATTTATTATAATTGATAAAACTACAGTGACACATCATTACAACCTAAAACCCACAGTTTACATTAGGGACCACTCTCGGTGTTCCACATTCTGTGAGTCTGGACAAAAGCATAGTGATATATGTCCATCACTATCCTATCACGGAAAGTACTCTCACTGCCCTAACATTCTCCCGCACTCTAGTTATTCATCTCCACTGCCCCTGGCAACCATTGGTCCTTTTACTGTCTCTATAGTTTTGCCTTTCCCAGAATGTTATATAGTTTAGAATCTTATAATATGTAGCCTTTTCAGATTAGCTTCTTTCACTTAGTGATATGCATTTAAAGTTCCTCGGTGGCTTTTCATGGCTTTCTAGCTTATTTCTTTTTAGCACTGGATAATATCGTATTGTCTGGATGTACCGCAGTTCATCCATTCACCTACTGCATGACTTCTTGGTTGCTTCTGAGTATCAGTAATTAGAAATGAAGCTGCTCTATACATCTGTGTGAAGGTCTTTGTGTGGACATAAGTTTTCAAGTTCTTTGGGTAAATACCAAGGAGAGCAATTGCTGGGTCATACAGCAAAAGTATGTTTAGTTTTCTGAGACCTGTCAAACTATCTTCCTAAGTGGTGTGCAACTAATGCATCACCACCAGCGACGTATGAGCGTTTTTACTGCTCCACACTCTTGCTGTCATTTGCAGCTGTCAGTGTTCCAGATTTCAGTTATCCTAATAGGTATGTAGTGGTATCTCATTTTTTTAGATTTGCATTTCTCTGATGACATATAATGTAGAGTGACTTTTCACATGCTTATTTGCCATCTGTGTATCTTCTTTGGCAAGGTGTCTATGAAGGTCTTTGGCCCATTTTTTTAATTGGGTTGTTTAGATTCTTATTGTTGAGTTTTAAGGGTTCTTTGTATATTTAGATAACAGTCCTTTATCAGATGTACCTTTTGAAAATATTTCTCCCAGTCTGTTGCTTGTCTTTTCATTTCCTTGATAGTGTTTTACACACAGTGAATTTTTTTTTTAAATAAAGTTTAGCTTATCAATGATTTCTTCCCCAGGTCATGGCTTTTGGTGTTATATCTAAAATGCCATCACCAATCCCAAGGTCATCTAGATTTTCTTCTATGTTACTTTCTAGAAGTTTTATATGCATATCTCTTTTCATAAATATTTTCTATCATTTTTTAATACATAGTACATATTTTAAATAACACTACGAGAAAAGGTTCCATATAATAGGAACCTTGAAGACACAAATACTAATTTATGCAGACAAATTAACTGAGTAAATGTGCACTTTGGATATATTTTAGGTTTCTTTAGAAAGCAATAAAAAAGTACAGAGTTTAATGATTTTTCAATATGCGGTGAATATGAAAACTGTAAACACTCTTACAACAGAACATTGTCTTTCCTTCTAAAAATGCCCTTGCAAATTCATCCTTTTCTGTTAGGGTGATACTTCACTTTGAAATTATACCATCGCTATCTGTCGGTGGTATTTTTATTCTTAATAGTAAAGGTTTAACTTTTCTGGAAAAAAATTTCAAAGAAATATTTTTATTAAAGTGCTTGGTGATAATGGTTAAAAATAATGAAAAATGGTTGTCCTAAAAGTCTGAATAAGAAAATGCTGTGAGATGATATATGTACGCACATTTTTATATATGTAAATATGTAAATAAGTACTACATATATATGTACACACAAACACAAACACACAAACATACCAACATATAAGGAATCATTTAATAATGATTTCTGTGTTAAGTAAAGATTCATGTTCCCCTATAAAAGGCAATAAAATATGCAAAGACATCTATAAATAAAAACCCACCTATTTGTCTATTATGAAACTGATTTGCTTGTGAGAGGTATAGATAAGATTGTATTTTCACTCATGTTCTCACAAACTTTCATCTCTCTTTCTCCCCGTCACACTAAGAAACGAAATCTTTTATGATATCCAATTTTTATTAAAGATGAAATAACCATATGCAATAGGAGACCCATCACAAGCTTCTATTGATAACCTGGTTAGTTTAATTAGTCTCTTGTTTGTCAAGGGGGCCATGACTCATTACAAACAAAACCATGAAATCTGGAACATTGCCTGAAAACCCAGGCGTAATGAACTGAAATAAAAATCTAATTTGTCACTAAAAGGCTTTTATGCAGTACAGAGTGCACATGGCTCAGCACAAGGTGCTTTACCACACAAGTTAAAGAAACATGATCCTGTTGTCTAAGGGTTCATGGGGTGCTGCAATGAATGCCAAAAATGGAAATATACCTACAATGTCATATGGAAGCATATAAAAATGAATCAAAAATTAAAACTGAGCATAATAAAAAGTCCTGAGGGTATTTTTTGTGTTACAGAATTAAAGGGCTATGAGTTATGGGTGATCAATGTGGAGAGGAGAGTCTCGCATAGATTTCATTTTGAGGCTAAAATTCTAAAGTTGAACTTGAAAGTTCTATTGATTATTCTTGGGAACACAAACAAACCCTT